AATTCTGAGCTTGGCTTGATTTGTGTTCTTTATATGATTTGAGTGTTTGAATTGAAATACTATATGTGTGTATATATATATATATATCAGTCTCTGTAAGAATTGAAATACTAGATGATTTGAGTGTTTGATTTGTGTTCTTTCACCCCTCGTTAATTCTGAGCTTGGCTTGATTTGTGTTCTTTATATGATTTGAGTGTTTGAATTGAAATACTATATGTGTGTATATATATATATATATCAGTCTCTGTAAGAATTGAAATACTAGATGATTTGAGTGTTTGATTTGTGTTCTTTCACCCCTCGTTAATTCTGAGCTTGGCTTGATTTGTGTTCTTTATATGATTTGAGTGTTTGAATTGAAATACTATATGTGTGTATATATATATATATATCAGTCTCTGTAAGAATTGAAATACTAGATGATTTGAGTGTTTGATTTGTGTTCTTTCACCCCTCGTTAATTCTGAGCTTGGCTTGATTTGTGTTCTTTATATGATTTGAGTGTTTGAATTGAAATACTATATGTGTGTATATATATATATATATCAGTCTCTGTAAGAATTGAAATACTAGATGATTTGAGTGTTTGATTTGTGTTCTTTCACCCCTCGTTAATTCTGAGCTTGGCTTGATTTGTGTTCTTTATATGATTTGAGTGTTTGAATTGAAATACTATATGTGTGTATATATATATATATATCAGTCTCTGTAAGAATTGAAATACTAGATGATTTGAGTGTTTGATTTGTGTTCTTTCACCCCTCGTTAATTCTGAGCTTGGCTTGATTTGTGTTCTTTATATGATTTGAGTGTTTGAATTGAAATACTATATGTGTGTATATATATATATATATCAGTCTCTGTAAGAATTGAAATACTAGATGATTTGAGTGTTTGATTTGTGTTCTTTCACCCCTCGTTAATTCTGAGCTTGGCTTGATTTGTGTTCTTTATATGATTTGAGTGTTTGAATTGAAATACTATATGTGTGTATATATATATATATATCAGTCTCTGTAAGAATTGAAATACTAGATGATTTGAGTGTTTGATTTGTGTTCTTTCACCCCTCGTTAATTCTGAGCTTGGCTTGATTTGTGTTCTTTATATGATTTGAGTGTTTGAATTGAAATACTATATGTGTGTATATATATATATATATCAGTCTCTGTAAGAATTGAAATACTAGATGATTTGAGTGTTTGATTTGTGTTCTTTCACCCCTCGTTAATTCTGAGCTTGGCTTGATTTGTGTTCTTTATATGATTTGAGTGTTTGAATTGAAATACTATATGTGTGTATATATATATATATATCAGTCTCTGTAAGAATTGAAATACTAGATGATTTGAGTGTTTGATTTGTGTTCTTTCACCCCTCGTTAATTCTGAGCTTGGCTTGATTTGTGTTCTTTATATGATTTGAGTGTTTGAATTGAAATACTATATGTGTGTATATATATATATATATCAGTCTCTGTAAGAATTGAAATACTAGATGATTTGAGTGTTTGATTTGTGTTCTTTCACCCCTCGTTAATTCTGAGCTTGGCTTGATTTGTGTTCTTTATATGATTTGAGTGTTTGAATTGAAATACTATATGTGTGTATATATATATATATATCAGTCTCTGTAAGAATTGAAATACTAGATGATTTGAGTGTTTGATTTGTGTTCTTTCACCCCTCGTTAATTCTGAGCTTGGCTTGATTTGTGTTCTTTATATGATTTGAGTGTTTGAATTGAAATACTATATGTGTGTATATATATATATATATCAGTCTCTGTAAGAATTGAAATACTAGATGATTTGAGTGTTTGATTTGTGTTCTTTCACCCCTCGTTAATTCTGAGCTTGGCTTGATTTGTGTTCTTTATATGATTTGAGTGTTTGAATTGAAATACTATATGTGTGTATATATATATATATATCAGTCTCTGTAAGAATTGAAATACTAGATGATTTGAGTGTTTGATTTGTGTTCTTTCACCCCTCGTTAATTCTGAGCTTGGCTTGATTTGTGTTCTTTATATGATTTGAGTGTTTGAATTGAAATACTATATGTGTGTATATATATATATATATCAGTCTCTGTAAGAATTGAAATACTAGATGATTTGAGTGTTTGATTTGTGTTCTTTCACCCCTCGTTAATTCTGAGCTTGGCTTGATTTGTGTTCTTTATATGATTTGAGTGTTTGAATTGAAATACTATATGTGTGTATATATATATATATATCAGTCTCTGTAAGAATTGAAATACTAGATGATTTGAGTGTTTGATTTGTGTTCTTTCACCCCTCGTTAATTCTGAGCTTGGCTTGATTTGTGTTCTTTATATGATTTGAGTGTTTGAATTGAAATACTATATGTGTGTATATATATATATATATCAGTCTCTGTAAGAATTGAAATACTAGATGATTTGAGTGTTTGATTTGTGTTCTTTCACCCCTCGTTAATTCTGAGCTTGGCTTGATTTGTGTTCTTTATATGATTTGAGTGTTTGAATTGAAATACTATATGTGTGTATATATATATATATATCAGTCTCTGTAAGAATTGAAATACTAGATGATTTGAGTGTTTGATTTGTGTTCTTTCACCCCTCGTTAATTCTGAGCTTGGCTTGATTTGTGTTCTTTATATGATTTGAGTGTTTGAATTGAAATACTATATGTGTGTATATATATATATATATCAGTCTCTGTAAGAATTGAAATACTAGATGATTTGAGTGTTTGATTTGTGTTCTTTCACCCCTCGTTAATTCTGAGCTTGGCTTGATTTGTGTTCTTTATATGATTTGAGTGTTTGAATTGAAATACTATATGTGTGTATATATATATATATATCAGTCTCTGTAAGAATTGAAATACTAGATGATTTGAGTGTTTGATTTGTGTTCTTTCACCCCTCGTTAATTCTGAGCTTGGCTTGATTTGTGTTCTTTATATGATTTGAGTGTTTGAATTGAAATACTATATGTGTGTATATATATATATATATCAGTCTCTGTAAGAATTGAAATACTAGATGATTTGAGTGTTTGATTTGTGTTCTTTCACCCCTCGTTAATTCTGAGCTTGGCTTGATTTGTGTTCTTTATATGATTTGAGTGTTTGAATTGAAATACTATATGTGTGTATATATATATATATATCAGTCTCTGTAAGAATTGAAATACTAGATGATTTGAGTGTTTGATTTGTGTTCTTTCACCCCTCGTTAATTCTGAGCTTGGCTTGATTTGTGTTCTTTATATGATTTGAGTGTTTGAATTGAAATACTATATGTGTGTATATATATATATATATCAGTCTCTGTAAGAATTGAAATACTAGATGATTTGAGTGTTTGATTTGTGTTCTTTCACCCCTCGTTAATTCTGAGCTTGGCTTGATTTGTGTTCTTTATATGATTTGAGTGTTTGAATTGAAATACTATATGTGTGTATATATATATATATATCAGTCTCTGTAAGAATTGAAATACTAGATGATTTGAGTGTTTGATTTGTGTTCTTTCACCCCTCGTTAATTCTGAGCTTGGCTTGATTTGTGTTCTTTATATGATTTGAGTGTTTGAATTGAAATACTATATGTGTGTATATATATATATATATCAGTCTCTGTAAGAATTGAAATACTAGATGATTTGAGTGTTTGATTTGTGTTCTTTCACCCCTCGTTAATTCTGAGCTTGGCTTGATTTGTGTTCTTTATATGATTTGAGTGTTTGAATTGAAATACTATATGTGTGTATATATATATATATATCAGTCTCTGTAAGAATTGAAATACTAGATGATTTGAGTGTTTGATTTGTGTTCTTTCACCCCTCGTTAATTCTGAGCTTGGCTTGATTTGTGTTCTTTATATGATTTGAGTGTTTGAATTGAAATACTATATGTGTGTATATATATATATATATCAGTCTCTGTAAGAATTGAAATACTAGATGATTTGAGTGTTTGATTTGTGTTCTTTCACCCCTCGTTAATTCTGAGCTTGGCTTGATTTGTGTTCTTTATATGATTTGAGTGTTTGAATTGAAATACTATATGTGTGTATATATATATATATATCAGTCTCTGTAAGAATTGAAATACTAGATGATTTGAGTGTTTGATTTGTGTTCTTTCACCCCTCGTTAATTCTGAGCTTGGCTTGATTTGTGTTCTTTATATGATTTGAGTGTTTGAATTGAAATACTATATGTGTGTATATATATATATATATCAGTCTCTGTAAGAATTGAAATACTAGATGATTTGAGTGTTTGATTTGTGTTCTTTCACCCCTCGTTAATTCTGAGCTTGGCTTGATTTGTGTTCTTTATATGATTTGAGTGTTTGAATTGAAATACTATATGTGTGTATATATATATATATATCAGTCTCTGTAAGAATTGAAATACTAGATGATTTGAGTGTTTGATTTGTGTTCTTTCACCCCTCGTTAATTCTGAGCTTGGCTTGATTTGTGTTCTTTATATGATTTGAGTGTTTGAATTGAAATACTATATGTGTGTATATATATATATATATCAGTCTCTGTAAGAATTGAAATACTAGATGATTTGAGTGTTTGATTTGTGTTCTTTCACCCCTCGTTAATTCTGAGCTTGGCTTGATTTGTGTTCTTTATATGATTTGAGTGTTTGAATTGAAATACTATATGTGTGTATATATATATATATATCAGTCTCTGTAAGAATTTAGGTTTGATTTGTGTTCCATCTCCACCCCTCTTTCACCGCCGATTCTCCATTTCGGCCCTGTTTTTCACCGAATGGGTTTGGCTTGATATGTACCCAAAAAATGTTCTCTGTTTTTCACCGAATGGGTTTGGGTTTGGTTTGATTTGGCTTGTTTATGTATGAGGGATTAATGGTGTATACTTTTGTATGAGGTTTGATTTGGCTTGTTTATGTACCCAAAAAATGTTCTCTGTTTTTCACCGAATGGGTTTGGGTTTGGTTTGATTTGGCTTGTTTATGTATGAGGGATTAATGGTGTATACTTTTGTAATCTACTAGCAGTAATTGGGTAATATTTTGTTGTCCTCACTAAGAAATTATAGAAGTTAGTTTTCCATTTATGTTCTTGACATTGTTTCCCATTTAGTTTAGAAGTAATCTTTATCAAAAAAACTTGAAAACATTTGTTATGTTGCAAGCTATTGATTGAACTTGCCTGAGGAGGTGCATGTTCAAATGTTTGGAGTCGATATTCATGCATGATCCAATCAGATTTCCTTCCATTGGGTGCGCGGCCCTTGTAGAACACTAGGGTCTTTCTCATCCCTATTATTCTGTTCTTTGAAAGCACAGCCTTGTCTCTCCTTGTTGCCTTCCAGAATCCAGCAGCAGTGGCTCTGTTAGTCCTCGTTCCCGTTGGATACTTCTTGTCCTTGTGACTGAAGAAATACCACTTACTTTGTTCTTCATATCCCAATCTACACCTATCTGTATTTCACATCATCATAATTTAATCAAACCTAAGTACTACATGGTAATTTTGGTTGGTCAATTGGTCTAAGTAATAGGAAAAAATTTGAAAAGAAAGCCAATTTACCTTGGATGTCCCATGGTTCAATTCTGTAGAGATCAATGTCAACAATGACATCTAAATCAATTTTCAATGAGTTAATCTTTTGCTTGAGATAATATCCCACGAGTTCTTCCTCCGTTGGGTGAAATCTAAAGCCAGGAGGGACACATGATTCCATCTCCATTGATTTTTCTACTAAAATATAAAGACAAATATATTAGTGAGGGAGAGAGAAAATATATATATATATATATGTTACACATACATAAGAAATAATATATATATGCAGTTAAATTTAAACTTGATCATTTTAAAATAAATGACTACTTTAATAATAAAACTATCACCATCATATATATGATATATCATTCTGGTGAAGAATTTATATAAAAAAATTGTAAGAACATAAGGTGAAGAATTTATATAAAAAAATTGTAAGAATATAATTTCTGTTTTCATTGCTAATGTCTCATCATAATAATTAACAAATTCATCCTTGTGATTTTTTTTAAATTTTTTTATTTTATTTTATATTTTAGATCAGCTTATCCTTGAGTTTTTTTTACCAGAACAATGGAGGGTGATGGTAGAGTATTGGAGTAGTAAAGATGCAATGGTATACAAATATATTCATGTATCTCTTGTATGACATTTAATTAATAGTTTCGTAAAATGTGAATGCTTTACTTTTACAGAAGATTGCTACCCGTAATTCTAAAAATCGAGAGCTGCGTGGTCCAGTGCATAGGATCGGGAGAACACCCTTTGCCGATGTACGACATAAGGTAATGATTTGTATTAACAATTATATAAAAATTAACTAAATGCTAACTCTTATCTGTTTGGCAATTTTAGATGATGACTGATGGAGAGAGCACTAACAAAATGAGTGTCTTCATGAAGACACGCATGATAACCGATCCAAATGTGAAATTATTTTTGGTATGGGCCTTTGCATATTGGTTTAATATTTTTTTTAACTGTTCTATTTGTATACTAATATCTTTAAATATTAGGATGAGTATAATGAGCAACTCTCAATGATAGACGAGCCCCTCAGGACAGAAGAGGTACAAGATAAGATTTTCCATAACCTAGTAGGAAAGGATGGACACGGATATTGCAAGACTTATGGGATAGGTGTGCCTCGAAGTGTAGTGTACAAAAAAGATGTCAGTCCATCACAAGCATCCTCATCATCGACTGTTGAGGAGATCACTCAACAAGTACGCCAAACAGTTACTGAAGAGATCGAGCAAAGGCTGATGATTGAGATTGGGCAAAGGGTCACTGAGAAGTTGAAGGCAGAGTTCGAGCAAGTTAGAGCTTGGATGGACTTCATAAGGTCCCAAGGTAGCCTAAGTGGTATACAGGTGGAGTAAAAATGACTAACTGAATAACTTGGGCAATTTGTTTGTTTTTCTTTTCTTTTCTTTTCTTTTCTTTTATTTCTATGTATCATATTTAATAAAATGGTATTGGTGTTGGTTATATAGCTTCCAAATGCCTCTAGTGGACGTCAACAGGTCAGGAAGTCTGTAGGAGATCATGATAGTCAAGATGATGAGTTGTTGGGTTCTCCTGTGCAGGTATCTCTATTACATAATGTAATATTCACAATCACACGAAATTGAGGTTAAGGGTTAGCCTACTGAAAACCCGATTTAGTGTTATTGTTGCTGTTGAACCTATTTTCCTGATGTTGAACCTAAAGTAAGACTGATTAGTGTTGAACCTATTTTGCATTTCTTAATAGTGTTGAACCTATTTTGCATTCGTTTTGAGTAGCCATCAACATTTAATTTCAGTTTTCCTACAGGTGGACAAAACCATTTGATTAGTCTAGGATGAGAGGGATTCGAGTGGAGGATAGATTGGAAGGCCTCATCAATCTCATGGACATAATTTTTCATGTTCTTAAGACTGATTTGAATAGGGGTAATTTGGCTTTCAAAAACAAATTTGTTTCAATCTTTTCATAACTGCCAAAGGATAATGAAAATAGTGTATCATTTTTTACCAAAAAACTCAGTTTTATTTTTCAAATTCTCAGCAACCCATTCACAAAGTGGCTGACCGCATCCATCCTCCCATCATTTAGTGTCCTTTATTTGAACCCAAATGTATTTAGAGGAGTTGCACTCTCTGAGGAGATGATTCATGTCATTACTAGCTAATCCACATTGAGCACAAGTCAATTGAGGCCATATTCCTTATGAGTCTCATATGAGTATAATATATATATATATTATATAAAATAAACAGTGATGGTAATTTTGTTTTGGTTTTTGTTTTCAGGTTTTGCATGAAGACTGATAGATGAATTAATGGTGGCATGGAAGCTAACTTTATTTTTGGACATATTATATTATGGCTTGAGATGTCAAGCTTTTTGTACTTAATATTTATAACATATTGCTACCATACTTTTTGTATTGATGTAACAAATTTTTTGTTAATATTTTGATGTCAATGAAGCTAAGATGATGACTGAATTTGTATAAATATTTTTGGTTTTTGAATGAATGAATGAATGAATGTCTATTGATTGAATGCATTTTTTTTATTAGATTTCAATGAACATAATACAGGTATTAATTACAAAAAAGAAATAACTTTTTTATGAAAATATATATATATATATATATATTTTTGGTGACGGCAACTAACAGTCTCAAAAAACCTATGCAATGTACAGGTGAATTTTTTTAGAGTCGGCACATTGCAGACGCAAAAAACTCTATAGCGACGGTAATGTACCGACATAAATAATAATAGTGATTTTTTGGTCTTTTTTGCGACGGCAGGACACCGTCTCAATTAATTCACTTTGCCGTCGCAAATATTCTGTGACGGCACAGTTGCCGACTCAAAAAGTTTTAGCGACCCCCGTACTCTCGTCCCTCACCATGCCGTCGAAAGGCCATCGCAAAAACTTTTTGCGACGGCAATTATGTTTTTTGCGACAGTAACCTGCCGACTCAAAATGTATGTTCTCTTGTAGTGAGCTAGCAATATGAAAATGCCATAAACAATATAAAGACTTTCAAAAAGGTTACTCTCTTAAGCATGGTTTCAAATATCGGTAGATACATATCGAACTTTTGTCATTCAAATTCGATATCGGTTCAGCTACTACAAAGATCATTTTTTCACCTGATGATTTTAAAAAATTCATGACTGTGACACTTAATACGTCACTAGATACTCCCAATACCACTAGACCAATGTTCCGATACTACCATACTGCTACTTAAAACTACACTCTTAAGTAGGATGAAAAGGGCGAAGTACTAACCAAAAAGAAAGAAATCCAAGCTTTTGTTAGGAATGTACTCGTAAAACAGTAACTTTTCTTCTACTTCAATGCAATAACCCAAAAGCCAAACAAGCTTTCTATGTTGTAATTTAGCAATCAATATCATCTCATTATTAAATTCCTCTAAACCCTACCCAGAACACCTTGAGAGTCTCTTGACAGCTATTTACTGTCCCCCTGGCCAAATGCCCTGGAAAAGAATCAAAAAAATTGTTTCATATTTACATGCTAACATAACTTTTATTAATCCTATATGATTTCCATGTAAATTCACCTTATATACGACTCCAAATCCCCCTTGTCCGAGCTTATAATTATTCGCAAAGTTATTTGTGGAATCTGCTACACAATTGAAATTGAACAACAGTAATTCTGGTCCACTTCCTTGTTTCCCTTCAATGGAAAAAAGGTCATCCAAGCATGAAAAATCTGCTGAAAAATCAAACGCTGCTAACTCAATTTTGCTCTTGCACAATGATTTTGAGCACTCTGTTGATGGGTATTGTTATGAAAAAAGGAAGTTAATTAGCCATCCTCAAGAAAAAGAAAGAAATTGACATTTCCCCATGAACTGCACTGTTAAACCTTACCTTTTATTTTTGCTGCGTACCTCCACTGTAGCCAAAGGAATACACCAAGGATGATTGTTCCTACTACTACAATTGTAATTATTGCAGCAGTTGATATTCTGTTTTTAACACCTACAGAGGAAAAAAACACAATATTGCGTCTTATTAAAATGCTTGAAAGTAAGAACAAATCTGCTTAATTAAATTTCAATTTTTTTTTACCATAATTTGAAGTGTTTTTCTTTTTCGTGAGATGTCATATATTTTTACTGTATACTCAGATTAAATGTAAGGGGTTTTTTACGAAAGTGAAGGGCCGATATATATTATACTTTTCGGCTACGGTTTCATTGTGTGATATTATAATATTGTAGAGCAGCTGAGTTGGGAGGAGGTTTAAAGCTTTCTAATTCTTATTACGCAGAGTGGATTTGATCTCCTCCCCTCCATGGACATAGGCACATTCCCGAACCACGCATATTTTGTGTTAGGTGTATTTGCTTTGTTTGATTGGAACTATTTGATTTCTGCATAACAGAGAACCAATTATAGGAAAAGAAAAGAAAAGAAAAAAAACATTTCAAAAGTTGAACAGAATTTTCTTTCTTTCTATTCTAATCAGAACTCTGTTTGCCTGATCTGCATTTCTATTATGTGTGCGACTAACCAATACAGAATTCAGAGACATATAAAATGTATTTTCCAGAAAACGAAAACACAGCCAAACCGGCATCAAATGATACAAATCAATCTAAAGAACGATAGATGACATACCTGATTCAGATTTAGCAAGACGTGTAAGTATTAATAATACATGTAACCATAATAATAATGCGGAATGAAACCTTATAAGATCTTGAATTCAATACAACTCAAGAATAAAATGAACATACATTTGTCAGCCATTGAATTAGAGAAGTTGAAAAAATAACCCTAATAGTTGAACCTTTAATTCTTGGCTCACTTTCTTCTTTCCGTCTCTCTTAATTAGGGTGACTATAAAACTTAGAGTGATAGAAAAATACTCATGATATGAAAGGAGAGTCACCCATCCTTATATAGAGGAGAGAAGAGGGCAAGATAAACTCTATCAAAAGAATTCATATCCATCAAGGTATGGAAAAATACTCATGATATGAAAGGAGAGTCACCCATCCTTATATAGAGGAGAGAAGAGGGCCAGATAAACTCTATCAGAAGAATTCCTATACATCAAGGTTTCCTTCTTATCTTAGAAGAGTAATTATATTAAAATTCTAATTACTAAACTTTATCTCAAATATTGACTTTATCTAATTGTGAAGTCCAAATAAATTAAAACATGTAGATATATGTAGGTTATTGGGCCACACTAGAAAATAAATCCAACATTCTCCCACTTGGCCCATTAAACCGATTATGATGCAATTATGAGTTTTTCCAAAAAATATGCAATTTATAAAATTTTTGACTCATTGGATTCCACACTAAAAGCTTTGACACATGATCACGAATTTTTAAAATAGCCAATAAGTTTAGATATATTAGAAACTATAATACTGTAATTACTTCAGATCACCAATGTGAGTCATAGCGGGTATATAACATTTATGTCATATTTCCTTCTATGCACTACACCATCGATAACTTTCAGTAACCTAGTCCATTATTGGAATATGTAATTATTTGCCTAAAAGGCCCCTGTAATTTGTCTTGTTAAGACATTTCCTGTTTATCAATATTTAAATCAATGTGTACACACACTTTTAGAAACAGGAAAAATAGAAACAAAATTATTATTGCGCAAATAGTGTCAAAAAAATAAGCACTCACGATTAACCATACACATCAAGCGTTGCTTAAAAAACCCATCATGATAACATGCTCTTTGTATGTCTTTGGTGGCAATCACTTTGTGACTGGATCAACAATCATAAGTGAGGTGCTCAAAATTTCAATTCACAATTGTTGTTTCTAGACTCTTTCTTTAAGAACTAAGTACTTTACTTACATGTGTTGGAACCACCGGAGTACTTTCCATTCTTGGAGAAGAAAACTGCTACGGTATTGTCACAATATATCTTCAGCAACCTGCAATTGAGTCAACAACACCAAGTCCTGAAATAAAATTTCGCAACCATAAAGCATGATTTGTAGCCTCAAAGCATATGGAATGTCCTTCATTTGTTTTCTTTCCAAGTCATTCCTTGGACATTGTTTTTCACTTAATTTATCACCCTTCATGATGGGTGCTACACCGGCTGAACAAAACTGCATATTGAATCTTTCCAAAACACGATCAATATATCCTTTCTGAGATAGTCTTAGCAATCCTCGAGATCGATCCCTAAAGATCTCTATGCTAATAACATAGTTTGCCTCACCCATATCGACCATTTTAAGGTTCTTGGAGAGATATTCCTTGGTTTCATGCAATAAGCCAAGGTCATTACTAGCTAACAAAATGTCATCCACAAATAGCACCAAAATAATGAACTTTCTCCCACTAACCTTCAGATATATGCACTAATCAACTGCATTTTCCTTAAATCCGAATGAGGTAATGGTATCATTAAACCTTAAATACCATTGCTTGGAAGCTTGTTTAAGGCCATATATGGATTTCTTTAATTTGCAAGCTAAATGCTCTTTACCTTTCTTTGCATATCCTTCTGGCTGCTCCATATAAATTTCTTCATCCAAATTCCCATTCAGAAAAGCAGTTTTCACATCCATTTGATGCAACTCTAAGTCATAATGAGCTACCAATGCTAGGATGATTCTAAGCGAGTCCTTCTTAGATATTGGAGAGAAGGTCTCTGTATAGTCTATGCCTTCTTTTTGAGTAAAACCCTTGGCAACAAGTCTGGCTTTAAATCATTCGATATTGCCTTTTGCGTCGCGCTTGGTCTTGAAGACCCATTTACACCCGACCTTTTTACAATTATTAGGCAATTCGACGAGATCCCAAACACTATTCTGTTCCATGGATTTTAACTCTTCATTTATAGCATTAACCCATTTAGTATAATCATCACTATTCATGGCTTGTAAAAATGAGACTGGATCTTTGTTAATCCCAATTTCAAAATCAGATTCCTGTAGATACACCATGTAATCATCTGAAATGGCAGGCTTTCTTTCCCCCTGAGATCTTCTCAGAATTGCCGATTGTGGTGGTTCTACAATATTTTCAATGGTGGTATCTTCATGAAGTGGTGAAACATGAGGTGGTGAAGGATTTTCATTATGTTGTTCTTTTCCCTCAGCTTGTGGAATAGTCTGAGGAAGAACAATTTTTCGATAAGGGTCAAATGTTGGCACATCCACCATAATTTCCTCGTAATTCACGACTCGTGTTTTCTCACTCCCACTAATTTCACCATTCTCTAGGAATCTAGCATTACCAGTCTCCACTATCCTCGTACTGTGATTAGGACAATAAAATTTGTACCCTTTAGACTTGTCTGGATAACCAATGAAATATCCAGATATTGTTTTTGAGTCCAACTTTTTCTCTTATGGGTTGAAGATTCTTGCCTCTGCTGGACAAACCCAAATATGTAAGTGTCTCAAACTAGGTTTCCTACCAGTCCACAACTCAAAAAG